TATTTAGGATTGTGTTTACTTGTGTTTTCCATTTTTAAAGATATTCTATTCTTATTTGTTTTATCTTCTTCTTCTTCTTCTTTCTTGTTATAGGGTTTTAGACGACTGTTGTCTATATCCCCTGGATCTTCTTTTTCTAGGCTTCTTGTTTCTTAAATTATATCAGATAATTTAGTTGTTTGTAGGAAATCTTTGTGTGTCTTAATATGTAGTACTTTATTGTAGATGGATGATCTGCACCTGTAATCAGAAGATTAATATCAATATCATTGATGTTTACTCGTCTTAGTGCATCTTTTAATTTTGTTCTGTGAAAGTTGAATCTTGGGCAGTGTAAAAACATGTGTTCTATAGTCTCTTCTTGGTTCTTGCACCATCTGCAGAAGGGGTCATTTTCCATTTTCATTCTGTATAGGTGTTGTTTTAGTCTTGTGTGTTTGGTTGTGAGTCTTGTGATGCATGTGTCTAGTTTTCTATACTTTGCTCTGGTCCATGGTTTATCTGTGTTGTCTTTAATGAGATAATTTTTTGTGCTTAGGATTCTTTTTAAGTTTGATTCCCATTGTTTGTTATTTTTTATCTTAATTTCTTTTATGATACAATTTGGGTCTGGTGGTATAGACATGGGATTATTCATTTCATGGGCTTTCTTTGCTGCTAGATCTACGATTTCATTTCCCTTAATGTTTTTGTGTGATGGAATCCATTGTATCATAATCTCTTGTTTTCGTGTTGAGAGAAAGTGTATATGTTTTTGTATTTCATATGTGATTTGTAATTTAGTGGTTTTGGGTTTTTTATTAATTGTAGTGATGATTGGGAGTCTGTTAGTATTATTGTTTTAGTCAGTTTATTATTTATTACATATTTTAGTCCTTGTTTTATGGCAAATAATTCTGCGTGGATGATTTCTATTTTAGGAGGCAATTTCCAAATAGTTGTTATATTTTTGTTTTGGATGTAGATTGCTGCTGAGGTTGAATCTGGTTCTTTTATTTTTGAACCATCAGTGAAAATTTTGTTAAATTCTTTGTAATTTATATTGATTAACTCCTGGAATTGTTTTTGAATAATTATTTGAGGAGTATTTTTTGTTATATTGTTCATAAAGTTTATTTGTATGTTTTCTGAAATGTCATACCATGGTGGTTTTGGGGATATGTTTGGTATTTCATTTGGATTTATGTTTAGGTTTAGGTTTATTTTTGTTTCTGTAGCTCTGTAAACTAGTGATCTTTTATCTCTTTGGGGGTTATATTCATTTATGCATTTTGTTATTTGTTGTTTTACTGGCATTGTGTTTGGTTTGTTTAGGATTTTTGTTAGTTGAATGCATTCAAGTTCTTTTATTCTGTGTGATAAAGATGGGATGTTTGTTAATGCTTGAAGAGCTAAGATTGGAGTTGTTCTAAAACATCCCGTTGCCAGTCTTAATATTTGGTTTTGTAATGTTTCAAGTTTTTTTTAGTTCAGATTCTTTTGCTGCTCCATAAATTGTTAATCCATATTCGATTTTTGGTTTTATATATATTTTATAAAACTTTAATAGAGTTTCTCTATTTGCTCCCCAATTTAGTGAAGTTAGTTTTTTCATTATGTTTATTCTATTTAAGATATCTACTTTTAAGTTTTCTAAATGTTTTTTCCATTTTAGGTTGGGGGCGTCTAAAGTTAGTCCTAAAATTTTATGGCTTTGAGTGTATTTAATTTCTATGTTGTCTATTCTTATTTTTGGTAGTTGGTTTATCTTTTTATTTGAAAAGCACATTAGTTTACTTTCTGAAAAGTTTATTTTCAGATCCCAGTGATTGGCCCATTCTTTTAACTTTTGTAGTTCTCTTTCTATTTTGTTTGAGGCTTCTAATAAGTTTTTATTACTTGTTAGTAGAGTTATATCATCAGCATATATTATCTTTTCAATTTCTTTTGATAATTTTAGATCATTTAACATTATATTGAATAAAGTTGGGCTTATTGGTGAGCCTTGAGGTACACCACTTTTTATTATTCCTTTTTCGGAGGTTTGATTTCCAATTTTTATTTGGAAAGTTCTTTTTTCTAGCAGATTATACAGCCATTTTAGAGGTTTTCCCGTGATACCTAGTTTCGACATTTTTATTAGAAGTGCTTCGTGATTGACTGTGTCGAAAGCTTTTTCTAAATCAATGCATTCTACAATTATATATTTTTTATCTATAAATGCTTTGTTTATGTGACTATCAATTGTATGTAATGCATCAATGGTATTTTTATTGGGTCTGAAGCCTGTTAGGTCTACATCTAGCTTATTATAGTGTTCTAGCCACCATATTAATCTTTTGGTTATGATATTTTCAAAAATTTTGCCAATGCGTGAGATTCTGCTAATGAATCTATAAGAGTTTGATTCTGAAGGGTTTTTACCCGGTTTTAATATGGGCTTTATTATGGCATTTTTTAATGATTCTGGGTATTCTCCTTTGGTCCAGTGTGAGTTGATAATGGTTAGGATTGACTCTAATATGTTGTTTGGAACATTTTTATAAAATTCATATGTCATTTCATCTGGTCCATATGCTTTATTGTTTTTGGCATTATTAATTGCTGTTTTTAATTCCAAGAGGGTTATTTCTTTTTATTTAGTTCATTAGTATTCTTTAAATTAAATAATCTTTCTTTTTCTAAGTCTAACAGAAGTTTTTTTGGGGTTTTACTTACTGTTTCCATGTATTCTTTTTTAAATTTGCCTAATTTTTTTTTGCAATTTCTGTTATTGGCAGATCATTTTCAATTAATGGATATTCTATTGTTGTTATTTTTCCTGTTAGTTTCTTTAAGAAATTCCAAATCATTTTTGATGGTGTTTTAAAATCTAATGTTGCACAAAACTTTTCCCATGATTCCCTTTTTGCTTGCGTTATTATGAGTCTAGCTTTTGCTGATTGTCTCTTATATTCTATTTGGTTTGTTATTGTTGGCTTTCTCCTCCATTTATTATAGGCTTTGTTTTTTTTCTTTTATGATATCATTGCATTCTTTATTCCACCATGGTTTACTTGGTTTATCTTTGTGTATTCTTGTTTCTAACTTAAAGTATTTTAGGGCCGTATTTTTTATAATCTCTGAAACTTTTTTGAGTGAAGTTAGATTTCCTGTTTCTATGCAATTTAATTCTTGTTGAATATCCCTCCATCCATCTTTTGTGTAATGCCACTTTTTTTTTCTTTTAACAAAATACTGTCTTTGTGTGAATTATCGTTTATTATTACTGGTAAATGGTCGCTGTCTAGGTGCAATGTTGTTCTAATTTGGATATGACTTAGGGTTGGTGAACCAAATACTAAGTCTATAGTTGATTCTTTGGCTGTTTTAGGATCTACTCTAGTTGTTTTTTGGGGTTAGCATTATTAGATTGTTTTGACTGATCCATTTTATTATGTTTTTGCCTGTTGTATTGATTTGTCTATTACTTATATTTTCATTCCAATAAGGATGGTGGGCATTAAAGTCACCCATTATTAGTTTTGGGTCTGTGATTTGTTCTGAGTAATATTGGAGTTGTTCTGTTTTTATATCATTACATGGGTTATAAATTATTAATATATTTAACCATTTACTTTTATAGTTAATTTTTATTCCTAAGGTTTCTAATTTATCACTGTATATTTCTTAGATTTATTTCTTTAAACTGTAAATTGTTTTTTATGCATATGGCTAAGCCTCCTCCTACTTGATTTCCTCTGTCTTTCCTGATTATTGTGTAATTATTTAGAATAAATTTATCTTTTTCTTTTAACCATGTTTCTGTTATGGCAATTATGTTTGGGTTTTCTTTATAAATTATATGATTAAGGTTAGTTTTCTTGTTTAACACAGATCTTGCGTTCCACAATCTAAAATTTTTCATTTTTCCTTTAGCATGTTGCTAATCTCGTTTATCACATCCATTATGTTTTGGATTATTGGTTTGTCTGAGTTTAAATTGTTTATTATTTTTGTTATTATTTTAAATATATTTTTAGCTAATCTTATCCAAGAAAAGTCCTCTTCATTTTTTTCATTGTTATCATTTGTGGTTTCTTTGTGGGTTATTGGGGTTGGTAGTGACCATGTAACTGGTGAATTTAGTTTGTCTTTTCGTTTGTTGTTTATTTTGGATTTGTTTTCTTCATGTTGTGTTTGTTCATTTACATCTAAATATGTAGTTTGTTGTGTGATGTTTGTAGTTCTTGTCTTCTTTCTGTTTGGAGTTTGGTTGTTTGTTTTGTTTGGGGTTCTTTGACCTAAAGTGAGGCTTTGTGGTTCTGTTAATTTCTGTGCATATGTTTGTGTTCTGTTGTCTTCTGTGGGTTGAGGTGTTGTGGTTACATAGTCTTGTGTGTTGTTTGTTTGTGTAATTATGTTTGGTTGTTGTTTTTCGTTACTTATGTTTTTTGTTATTGGTTTTAGTTGTTGTACCTGTTTTTTTATCTCTAGGTTATTTGGTGTTATATTGTCTTTGTTTATCTGTTGTGCTAATTTATGTACTTTGCATTTTGTGTTTGGTGAATGATTTTCATCACAATAAAAACAATGAGAGGTATTTTGGCAATCTTTATAGTTATGTCCAAATTGGCTACAGTTGTTACATCTTTTTTTGTTTTTGCAAGTTACTGTCCCATGTCCGTACCTTAAACAATTGTAACATTTTAATATGGGGAAAGTGTACTGTCTTACTTGGTAGCTTGTATGTCCTATTGCTACTCTTTTGGGTAATGTCCCTCTAAAAGTTATTCTAAGGGATTTGGTGGGTACCCACTTTTCTTCACTTTTTTGGTCATTATTTTGTCTTTTTAATCTTAGGTTCATAACCTAAAGTTCTTATTTTTTCTTTGATATTTTCCATGTTAAGATCTGTTTCTACTAGGAATATTGTTCCATAGGAGCAGTTTATATATTTGTTTGAGATAGGTTGCTTACAAACTGTTTTATATGTTGTTTTGTTACTCCATTTGAGGGGAAAGGTGAATAAAATACGGAGCTCTGCTGAGCTACACACGTATATTCAGGAGGAGTGTACAACACTAATGTTTACATAAGGGTTACGTACGCATGCAATATATATAAAGGGATATGTTACTAATATTATTCTATAAGGTAAATAGGATACATAATTATAGTAAGATAATTATGTTTGATCATATGACATCCCTCTTTTTCAAAAACAAAAGATAATGGGGTTAGTTTCATATCATACTTGAGGTTTACTATTTGGTAGTTAGTTCCAAAAATATATGAGAATCTGCAGTGTATCAAAAATAGAGATTAACATTGAATGAGCTTCTATGGTTGGGTAACTGAGATTGCACCTGAGACTGCTTTGTAGTTCACACATGTAACATAAATTTTAGCACCTTTTTCATTAATTTTCAAAGAAATTGGGTAGGAATATAGCACCTTGTTTTCATTAATTTTCAAAAGGAATTAGGTAGGAATATAGCACCTTGTTTTGAGAATCACATTAGTATACTGGCCATTATTATAGCATTTTCCTTAACACTATTGAACACTACACATAAACACTGTGGAAACTGAAACATATTATAAGTCCAGTCTATTGGGTTTCTTGATGGTACGGCCACTTCTTGTTCTTGTGCCATCGCAAGTTGATTCTTGTTCTTGAGGCACTACTATAGGAGCCTTGCTCACATGGTCTTGCTCGTTATCCATATTTACTGTAGTTCCAGTAGGCTCATCTGTATGGTGTTCATCTGGAAGTGGATGCTTGGGTTGTGGAGTTTGTTTGATGTGTCGTCTGTTTCTTCTTAAGATACCTCCATCTTGTGTTTCAACTATATATGATCGAGGTTCCTGGGATTTCTCAACGACTGTAGCGGGTGTCCATCTTCCAGAAATGTGATCTTGAACTCGCACAGCTTGGCCTGGTAGGAGTGCTTGTTGGTCTTTTGCTCCTCGGTCGTAATACTGCTTCTGTGTGTCTTGCTTCTTCTTGAAGTTTTCATAGACATCTTGTTTTTGCCCTTCCCTTGTGGGCAGGTGAAGGGGTAAGTTACTCCTCATCTTCCTCCCGTTCAGAAGCTCTGCTGGGCTTGGCAACTTGCTATCTAGCGGTGTGGTACGTAGTGTTAACAATGCCATATCTGGGTCCTTGTTGCTTCTTTTTGCCTTGTCGATGGTGTTCTTGACGGTTTGGATTATTCTTTCAATGAATCCATTTGATTGGGGATAGTGGGGTGAGCTTGTTATATGTTCAAACTCCCAGTTTGAAGCAAATGTTGCAAATTCTTCTGAGCTATATTGGCGTCCGTTGTCACTATATACTTTTTCAGGAACTCCATACTCAGAAAACAAGTTCTTTAATCCTTTGATCACAGCAGTGCTTGTGACGTGCATGGGCATTTTCCTGATGACTGGAAACTTTGAGTAGTAGTCCGCTATAATCAGGTAGTCATTATCTCCATAATGGAAAAGATCTGTTCCAATATACTGCCATGGTCGTGTAGGTAGTTCATGTGGATGCGATCGAGCACAAGTTTCTGCATGGAAACTGGGATTATGACTCTGCTGCCTTTTAATCACAAGCCCATCTTCAATAGATAACTCGTCTCTGAAGGACCAGTATGGTTGCAACATTCTCGGTAAGTCTTTCATCTTTTCTGGCCATCCTTGTATAATGATTTCTTTCAGTTCATGCAGGATGACATCTCTTGAGGTTTCCTGTCGAAGTGAGACCAGTTTCTCGTTGCTGAATGTAACAAAGTTGATCTGTATGTCTAGACCAATATGTTGATTATCCGTTGATGGCAAGCGCGATAGACCGTCTGCTAGTAACAGGTCTTTTCCTGGCTTGTACCGGATCGTGACATCATAGTGCTGCAGCCTCATCAGCATACGCTGCAGTCTGGGTGGTGCGGCTGTCAGATTCTTTAGCTGAATCATTTCTAGTGGTTTGTGGTCACTCTCCACCTGGAATGCTTTGCCGTATACATAAGTATGAAATCTTTCACATCCAAATACCACTGCAAGTAGTTCCCTTTCGATATTGGCATAACGTTGCTCGGTTTCAGACAGAGTCTTGGATGCATAAGCGATAGGCTTATCATCTTGCACCAATGCAGCACCAATACCCTTTTGTGATGCATCTACTTGTATGACTGTTGGTATGTTTGGAGTGAAATGTGCCAGTGTTGCATCTGTGCACAGGATATTCTTAATATGTTCGAATGCCTTCTCGTGGGTTGGTGACCATGTAAAGTCTACATCTTTTTTTAGGAGACTTCTGAGTGGTGCAGTTTCATCTGCCAGGTTTGGGATAAATGGTGACATATATGTGACCATTCCCAAAAATTGTTGCAGCTCTGTGACATTTGTTGGGCTCGGCAGTGCTTTAATTGCTGATACCTTGTCTGGATCTGGGTGAGAGCCTTCCTTGTCGTAAACAGTTCCGAAGAATTTCACCTGTTCTTGCTTGATCACACACTTTGCACTGTTGAAGGTTAATCCTTTCTGCTTGGCAATCTTGAGGAGGCTATGCAGGTTTATGTCATGCTCCTCTTCAGTTTTTCCAAACACAACTACATCATCAGCAATGCCAATGGTACCAGGAGTTTTCAAGGATCTGATCCATTATTTGCTGGAAAACATCTTGTGACATCACTAGGCCAAAAGGCATTCTGAGATATCTGTAGCGGCCAAAAGGAGTGTTGAATGTAGTCAGGAGTGAACTAGGTTCATCAAGTGTGACTGACCAATAGCCATTCTTTGCATCAAGTTTGCTGAAAATTTTTGCGCCTGCAAACTTGTGTGTGATTTCCTCTTGCGTAGGTGTCTTGTGATGGCTTCTTTTTATGGCTTTATTCAGGTCCTTTGGATCTAAACATACACGCAGGCTGCCATCCTTCTTTATGGTGCAAACCATGCTGTTGACCCAATCTGTAGGTCCTGACACCTTTTTGATAACTCCTATTTTTTCCATGTCTTCGAGCTGGTTTTGAAGTTCTTCCCGTTTATGTATGGGGAATTTTCTCTGTGCGTGAACAACTGGTTTTGAACCCTCTTTCAGCACTATGTGGTATTCTCCATGGAAATTCCCAATTTTATCGAACTGATTCGGGTATGATTTCTTTAAATCATCCACCGATTGGATGGCCATGGTTGTTTGAGGGTGCATCCGCGCCTCATGAATTGTTACCATGCCCAGGGCTCTCAGGCTTGGCAGACCTACAATAATTGGTCCGACTTCTTGGTCCATAATGTAGAAGTCTGTATCAATCCAGTTTTCCTCGTCAAAGGTGCACTTTAAATTGATCGACCCAAAATGCTTCAGTTTCATATTGTTCACTGCAATCAAGTTCTTCAGATGGTTGTTTGTTAGATAAGCTTTCGGCTTCCCATGAGCATCTACTAAATCTGGACACATAACTCGAAATGCTCTTATCGGGAGCAGGTTTACTCCAGCACCTGTATCGACTTTGACTGTCATTGAGCCCGTTTTGTTGCTAGGAGTCTTGACTTTGATAGATCGCAGAGCTTCACTATCATGACTGTTCGACACCTCTTCTACTCTAACAGAACTCACTGTGAAATAATCCTCCTTGGGGTCATCTTGGCTGAACTCATGCACGGAGTATGTTCTGTTAGCTTTCTTGGGTTCTTTGTTAAAGTTCCTAAGGACTTTGTTTCCGGCATAATGACTTTGGCTTGTGCCCTTACTCCTGTATGCTTTCTTCTTGGTTTCTGGTATTGAAAAGCACATTTTTTGCCAGTGGTTCATTTTGCCACATGTATTGCATCTAGCACCATATGCTGGGCAGGATTGTGGGGGGTATTTATTGTGTGTTCGCCCACATTTGTTGCATGATTTTGATGCCCTTGCGGATTTATGGTGTCCCACAGCATCGACATTTAGGTCATAATTGACTGTTTTGGCTCTCATGTCTCTGTTATCTCTTATGGTTGCTTCATGAGATCTGGCAATGTCAATGGCTTTGCTCAACCTTATCTCTTCACCTTCCATAATAAGGCTCCTTTGCAAATCGTTACTGTGTATTCCCTCCATGAATTGCTCAATGATTCTTGTTTCATGTTCTGCCTCAGTAAATTTGCATCTCTTGGCTTGAGCTTCACATCTATTCACAAACTCATCGCTAGACTCATTTTCTTTCTGGGCGAATTTTCGCAAACGAAGTCTGTCAACGTATTTGTTTGTCTTCGGTTTTACCTGGGTCTGAAAAACATTCCAAACTTTTTCAGGGTCTTTTAAATCATCTTCAGTCAATTTGCTTGCCTGTATCATTGCCTCTCCAGCAGTGCCTGCATATAGAATGATGTGATTAGCCTGCTTTTCGATTGGTATCTCTTTGACCTTGAAGTATCTAATACAATGTCTTTGGAAAGTCATAAGTGCGCCATATGAATCGTTAGTTTTCCAATTCATTCTTGGAGTGTGGCGAGAATTGTCGTCGTCGGCCATTTTGATGGCTGTTGACGTGGCAGTGCGAGTATTAAGACACTTTCGGTGCACCAAAGTTGAGCTGTGTTGGGTACACAGGAACTATGAAGCGAACTGTGCCTTACTTTCGCATGCTTATTCTATACTTCAGTCTTATTTGTCTTGATACCTTCGCTGAGGGCGGATCTTTCGTGTTTTAGGTGCGACGTGGCACTTGTCTCTATGCTGGTTGGTCGCTTACCTCACGTATTTTAAAGGTCCATATTTCGGTATCTCCAGGTTGTTTTTACCTCTTTCCCCTCTTTATCTATGCTTGGAGACGGAGTACAGCTGCCACCATGTTTTATATGTTGTTTTGTTACTCCATTTGAGGGGAAAGGTGAATAAAATACGGAGCTCTGCTGAGCTACACACGTATATTCTGGAGGAGTGTACATCACTAATGTTTACATAAGGGTTACGTACGCATGCAATATATATGGAGGGATACGTTACTAATATTATTCCATAAGGTAAATAGGATACATAATTATAGTAAGATAATTATGTTTGATCATATGACAATCCCGTAGGTGTTAATAACATCAGATTGTTTTGAGTTATATAATTAAATAAATTTATTCCCGTTGTATTTGCCGTTTTTGTTTTTATATTAGGGTTCCATGATGGATGATGGGCATTAAAATCATTATTCTGTCTTTCAATGAGATTTATTTTCTTGTATTGTATACTACTGTGTATACAAATTGCAAGGCCACCTCCCCTTTGATCAGTTCTGTCTTTCCTTTCTATTGAGAAATTGTTTAACCTGAAATTCTCATTTTTTGTTAGCCAAGTTTCGCAGATTGCGAATATTTTTGGATTTTCATTTTCTATTATCAAGTCAATTTCAGTCTTTTTATTTAGAATAGACCTAGCATTCCAGAGTATTATACTATCCATGTAAAATATCCATGATGTTTCTTATTATTGGTACTGCTTCTGTTATGGTCTCGGTAATGGTTTTGATTAAGGATTTGTCTGATTTTAAGTTAAGTGCTATGTTTGAAATAAGATTGATTATTCTTTTTATTATTTCAGTCCAAGGATTATTTTCTTCTTGTTCAAATCTTCTTTCTGGTGTTATGGGTTTATTTAGGGGTGTTGGCAGTGACCATGTTATAGGAGAGTTTACTTGTTCTTTGTTTTTAGTATTATGACTGTTTGATAGTTTTTGTTCTTTTGTTTTTTCATATTTTGATTTCACTGGTGAAGTAATTATATCTGTTTCTTTTTGGTTAGCTTTGCTTTTTTGTTTTGTGGGTGTTTTCTGGGCTGGAGTTATGATTTGTGTTTGTTTTAATGTTTGAGCAAATGTTTGGGTTACAATTGGGTGTGTTTGTTGTATGTTGTTTGTGTTGTCCTTTGTTTTTTGTTAGTGTTCTGAGTCAGCGTTGTGTATCTCAGCTATTACTAGTATGTTGTTTTTGTTTTTTGTGTTGTTGGGTTCAACTGATGAAGAAGTTTTTTTACTTCTTGGTTGTTAGGTGTAGTGTTTTTTTTTTTTATTTCTTGTGCTTGTATGTGTACCTGACATGTCCTGTCATATGCTTGGTGATTACCTTTACAGAAGAAACAATAAGAGGGGTTTGAACAATCTTTGTATTTATGCCCTACCTGACTACAATTACTGCACCTTAATTTGTATTTGCAGGAAATTATCCCAAGACCATACATGAGACATTTAAAGCATTTTGGTATAGGAAATGTATATTGGAATACTTGGTAGGCTGTATGTCCTATGACTACTTTGGAGGGTAGAGGACCTGTGAATATTATTTTTAAAGCTCTAGTTGGTAGCCATTTATTTTCTCCTGCTGGAGTTTTTGTTAATTTGTTTATTCTGTTAATTTCTTTTATTTGGGTATTTGATCCCCAAATGGTTCTCATTTTATCTTGTAATTCCTTGATCTCTATTTCTGTTTCCACTGGGGAAATTGTACCATAAGTGCATCCTTGGTTTCTACTAGAGGCAGGTTGTTTGCACTGAACATTCCATTCTCC